TTATTTATTTATTTATTTATTTATTTATTTATTTATTTATTTATTTATTTATTTATTTATTTATTTATTTATTTATGGTCTTATGGACTGTGTATTTGTATGTTTTATTTTTATTTAAAGCAAAGACTGCTCAATGAACATAATAAATATAATCACATGTAGAAACCCTAACAATAGGATAAATATCTTAGGGATAATTCTCAGGGATATTAGCCTCTAGCTCCTCCCTGTGGATATCTGAAAATATTCATGTGAAGAATATTGATGGTTGGTAGTCTACATAAGGCACTGTGGACATATGCAGATTAGAATTAGGAAATTTGGTGAGTTTTCTAAAGAAAGGAAGAACTGCATTCATGTGATCAGAATTATTTCTGGACATTCTGGTTATATGAGTCATATGGTAGATAACATTTTGACCAAAGAAAACATTTAAACATAATTTGGTTGTTTCTTCATGTACAAAGGAAGAAGAAAGGATATGAATGATCAACAGGTCCATTTTGATATGGTTAAGGTTTCATTATACCTCATCAATCACGTTTCTAGAGACAACACTTCTTTTTCTCAAGATCTCTCTGATCTAGACAAAAATGTCGAGACTTTTCTGTGGCTTCTGTATTTTGTATACTTCCACCAATCTTATTTATTTTCCAAGCAATTTTTATTCTACATTTTTATGTTTGACAAACTGCTTCCTTTCCTATTCTACAGCCTAAAGTTGTGTCATTTGCACTGATTTATTGCTAGGAAGATTAGGATTGGGAACAGGAAACAAAATGTTCCCCAGCTAAGTATTAAAAATCTCAAAGCCAAGATTCCTTGTGTTCAAATTTTATGATTTGGTAAGGTTTGGGGAAAGGGTGGCTTCTGCTCTTTTCTTGAAATTTACCACAAAAATTTGCAACCACAACCAGCAGATCACATAAACTATGAAAATATTTTGTCTACTAAGTCTTATGATTTTCTGCCTGAAATCAATAAATCAATAAAAAGTGAATTATACTTGCAAATGATAGCTAATGATAAAAAGAAAACCACAAAATGTTTTAAAAATGATAATTTAACCTAAGATAAACATTTTTGGAACAATATGTTCAGAATTTAACAATGTAACTTATTCAGAAATACCTAGTATACTCTCAAAATTCACTGGGTTATGTTATAAAATAAAAACATGTATTTCTAGTTATTGTCTTCCTTTTCTGGAATAGTACCTTCCCATGATATTCAAATCACTTCCTTCCTGATTTTCAATAAGTTTTTAAAAAGATGGTTATTCCATCAAGTTGTATGGATATAGTGCTACTGAAACTATTCATCATGTGTTTCAATTCTCAACATTCAAATTCCCAATTTATGTTGGTGAACTGCAATTTGAGGTTTTTAGTTTGATAAACATATCAAGAAAAAAAGTACAATACAATGAAACAGGATAGAAACAACAAAGCAATTTGATATCCTACTTAATATAAACAGTAATAAGACCCAGGTCAATTTACTGATAACAAAGTTTAATTTCTACAAATAAGTGACAGCTTATACTTAAACAATATTTGGCTGTCAGAGTTTCCTATAAAATTCATCTGGTCTCCAGAAAATTGAATCTATAGAATTCAATTAAGCTTTTATTGCATATAAGGCCTATGTGAAAAGAACTAATACCACTAATGGATAAATCCTTAGTAATGTCATATACTAAATATACTAACATACTTATTATTAAACTTAACATACTTAATATTAAACTCAATTCAATTGCTCTAATAATAATGTAAACTAGATTACTTATATTAAGTGACCTTACACTAAATTAAATTGTGCTGCAAACACCTTATCACTGACATTCTGTGCACAATTCCCTCAAACTATACATAATTCCTTCAAAAATGACATAAGAAATTAATGTTTAGTGATTAAAAAGCTTTAGTGTATTAATTCTTAAAACAAATTATATTTCTGAAGCAAACTTTTCCATATCAGTTCAGAGCACTTACATTTAAATTTTAATAAGGGACAGTTTATCTTCTGTGTGAATTTTTATCATTGTTCTTTGTGACAGTTGATAGATAGTAAGTGCTTTTTGTCATCATTTTCAGCTCACCCTAATTGCCAATCAGCTTAGGAGAAGGCTACTAAAATGTCAAATAATAAGATAAATTTTTGAACAACTTGATTAGTAGATTTATTAATTGTAATTTAACCTTCAAAAAGAGCTCTTCAATAAGCTAAGCACAGGAAAGGTGAATTAATGTGTTAACCATCTGTTCTGTTATCCTACAATAAGTGAAATATTATTGAATAGCAGTGTATATTTTTAGGAGTGCCCTAAGGTTTCAATTTGAAATATAAAATTAGCATACTTTAAGGGCAGATTTTTTTATATCTAAAAAGTAAACATTACCATAAAAAATAAATCACTGCAACTGATAAATAATTCCTGACTCTAGGAAAAAACGCAGGCAAGCAAACAGAATTAACTGTGCAAAAAAGGAAGATAATGTTCCTGTTTCAATTTCAGTGTAAATTGCTAACACTGAGGACTATTTTTTCTTTACTACAGATCCAAATGAATTAAAAATTGGAAGACTTATTTTGATTCAGGAGAGTGCTTCCATTTACAGAACGAGGCAGGAAATATAGGTGTTCATTTACCTTTTCCTTCTGCAATCTTCTACCTCAGGGATCCCCAACTCCTGGGCCATGAACCACTACTGGACCGTAGCCTGTTCAAAACTGGCCACAGGAGAGATGGGCAAGCACGCATGCATGAAGCTCCATTTGCATGAGTGGTGGGCAAGTGCGCACGTGAATGGAGGGCAGATGTGCTTGTGCACGAAGCTTCATCCATGCAAGTAGAGCTTCGCACGCTAGCACAACCACCCTCCTCGCATAAGTGGAGCTTCATGTGTGAGCACAAATACCCTCTGTTTGCACATGAAGCTCCATTTGCACAAGTGGAGGGTGTGCCTGGCCACCGCTTGCACAAATAAAGCTTCTTGCACACAGGTTGCACACACTTCTTGCACACACCTGCCACTCATACGCCCCCCATGCCAGGCCCCCAAATTTGAAAGGTTGTGGACTGTTGCTTTACATTGACAGAATAGCTTGATAGGAAGCAGTAGAAAGCTGCAATAGACAGATGGAAATGGTCTTCTTCTCCTTCATGCTGGCATAAGAGCAGAAATTTATTGAAACATTGGTCCAAAACTTTTTCAGACTTTGAGAGCATGTTTAGAAGAATATATTTTAAAAACAGACATGAACAACAGGAGTACAAAATAAATTAATTCTGTTTTGATCCTACAGTAATTTCCCCCAGCAGTGCTAATAACTACTTCCAGTCAGGCTTGAATTTATGGAATCAGTGCATGAAAACAATTAAGCTTGCTCTCCAATGGCATTTTCAGAATCAAAATTACTGTTTTTTATACTGCAATGAAGTAAATAAAACTAGTTGAGAAATGATAAGTAATCTCAAATGGTTAAACTTCCAAAATGTACTAGAATTTTCTCAAGGGCTTGTAAAATGAAAAAGAAAAGATTTGATAATAGAAGGATATCTTTGTTAATGTTTTTTCTATGCACAATTAATATAAAGATTTAAGAAGAATAAAAGATTTTATACTTTTGTACAAAGCAAGATTAATTTGAAATGGAATTATATGCTAATTATTAAAATGTTATTGCTAATATGTATAAACATTTGCTAAAATATGATACAGAAAAAGAACAAATGAAATAATGTATGACAAACTAGGTTGAACATTTTGGTTATAATATACAAATGGACCAGTATAGAAATATGTGATTGAAAAGACTGAAAATTACATGATATCTAGCCTTAAAGATACTTTTTATAAGATGATTAGCTGGATACCTGTCCTTTCCTTTCCTTCCTCCTTTCCTTTCCTTCTTTCTTCCTTTCCCCTTCCTCCTTTCCTCTCTTCCTTTCCTTTCTTTTATATATATATATATAGATGTATTGTTCATATTTATTACCAGAGAAATTGTCTAGAACAGTGGTCCCCAACCTTTTTTGTACCAGGGACCAGTTTCAAGCACAAACACTTTTTCAAGGACCGGGGGGGGGGGGAGGGAA